ATCAGTTTTTTTTTTTCAAAGAACTCATCCTTCAATAGATTTGAATATAATTTGAAGGATCTAACGTCTTTCCTGGATTCTGGAAGTCTTCTGTAGACCTTTTCATGTCAGATGAAGGACTAAAGATTTACCTGCAAACAATTTTGCTTTTATTCATTCTAAACTATTAACATTTCTTGTCTGTATGCATCCATGCAAATTTTTAAGCTGATAGGCACATGTAATTTTTCTCAAGCGATAGGTTCGCCCCTTCCTGTTAAATTTGCAGAACCAAAATCTGTTCTTGTAGTACCACATACAGAATTAGGATATATATTTTTGAATGAAATAAAAACCATGATTCATTATGTATTAAACTATGATACCTGGTAAGCCTAAAAAAAAGGTATTTTAGAAAAAACATTCTTTTCCTCTGATTTATTCCATGTGCATTCTGTAGCTCCATTGCTGGACTCACACATATTTTGAAGTTACATTAGTTTTTCCAGTATATTTGAGCACTTGTTATTGACTTATCCTCAAAAACTCAAATATTTTCTATACTTTTTTGTGAAAGAGGATAGTTGGATGTTTGTGATGCCACTCTGTCTTCATCTTACAAAAAAAATGAATAAATGTCAAGTAATTTGTGTCAGGTGTATGCTCCAAATGAAAGTCCATCAATCATTTTTGGCCCTTTAGTGCAACGATTATCATTTCAAAGACGCAGGAGGACATTAAAGATAATGGCTTTTCTGTTGTCTATTATCTCTAACAGACTTCACATAATTATTAACATGTGTTCTCATTTAAGAAGAGTGTCAATATTTTGAGTGAATTGCATTTTTTTAACTGAAAGGGATATGTCTGTCAGCAAGTTTTTTGTCCATCTAACTAAATGAGGAATTACAATTAATGAATTTTGTATTTCCGCAAGAAGGGCAGATATTGCAGAAAATGTTGGAAGCTTTGCAGGGCTGAAACACAATGACTGTCTTCAGCTGTCTGCATAAGATAATAAACAGTGTTCAAACTTGAGTAGAAAAAAAAGCTGTACTGGGAAGAATGAATACGGCATTTCCTTGTTTACCACAAAGCTCTGCAGTCATGTAGGATATGGAAAGTATCTATAAAGGGTAAATATCTATTTTGTGGCTTTGTTTTATTTTTACAGTTCTGCTAGGAATAAAGGTATTGAAATAAGTTTCTTACTAGCTTATTTCATACCTCATATTTTATTCTAAGAAATTGCCCTTTGCTTGTCCTTCAGCAAAAGGCTAAAAATAGTGGGGTTTTCTGCATCCAGTAGAATTGCAAATAGAACTACATGTCTAACATATTTTTAAAATATTAAAAATTTAAAAATATTTAAATATTTTAAAATAGATAAAAAAATAAAGCTGTGGTTCATCCATGTTAAATAAAAAATAGTTAAACTTGGCCCTCCTCCTTTGAGTAGGAATAGAAGAGGTAATGTCTAGTCTTAGGCTTCTGAAATTTCAGTGGTAACTCTTGAGGTGTTTACGTGGAATGGCTTGAGGGGCATACCCTGCTTCTTGCCCAGGCTATTCTTCCTCTGTTTGAACGGGATTTCAGCAGACTACTTATGGGTCCGGGCTGTTGACTTCACCATAGAAGTTAATGAGTGAGAATGGAGGGAAACGCTGTGATATGTGGGACAGCTTTTTAGCTTATGGTTTCTCTCAATAAATTTAAATATTATGGAAAGAATCCATGCAGCAGCAGGAGGAAGGATTTAGCTTTTAATCACTAAAGTAAACTGAATCTGTTCAGATTTCAGCACCAGTAAGTGTCCTGGACAGAATGTAGACATTACAGTTAGACAAAACAGTGAAGTCTGTCCTATAATATTTAATGAAATACATTTCTGGCTACATTAGAGAAACACCTTTTAATGGGAATGACAATAATTTATGAATGTATTCAAGCTTCAGCATGTCTCCACTTTTAAATTAGATGAGAAATATTTGACAGATATAGAAGGAGCACTTGTGTACAGCAAATCAACTAACTTAATAACATTCAGAAATAGTTGGGGAACACCACACAGAGCAAATAATGTTATGGATCAATGAATTAAATGAATTAGCACCAGCAGTCACAGTTCTGTCCCTGAGCCAGAAGATGCTGCAAGCATTACAATGATACATTCATAGTCTGGAGGAGCGGCAGGCAGCTGGCAAACCCTGCCAGCTGGCACAGCAGCATCAACTGGCGTCAGCTGGATTTTAGCTGCTTACCTGTCACTGCCAGCTACAAGCAAGTCCCAATATGCTGAGAGGTGATCAGTGATTTGTCTTTTAAAAGCATAGACTAAATAGTTCAATGCAGTCTTTACAAACTTTCATTTTATTTGCCTTATGGTTTTTATGACCTGGAAAAGTGCTGATTTTTCTGTGTCTACTTTCCATTTGGAATTCACACACATATTTAATTCCCTGTCAGTGACTTCCCCAGAATAACCAGAATTTGGGGCAAAATAAGGATCTCTGAAAATACGTTCTCTTTTTTTACCACTGATTACTTATCTTCGTTGCAAAACATTTCAAGCTACATATTGGTTCTAAAAATCTATGTCAAAAGTCCTGTGTAATACGTAGCATTACAGCTTTGTTTTTAGAGTAGTTTTATGCCCAATTTAAGATATTCTGTTGCTTTGTTGCTCCATTTTTACTCTCTAATGAATAAAATATTAGCCTTCAGTTACAGATTTCAGTTGGTTGAAGCTATTTCAGGTAGTCTGAGTCTAGTTTGATGCCTGGTAATTGTGACCATGTGTACATTTATCTAAAATGCATGTGAACATACAGTTAGTTGGCCATTTTAAAACATGAATCTCTGGTTTAGTTTTTAAAAATTATACAAGCTCTTCTTTAATTTTTTTTTCACCAATATTTTAAGGAGGAAGTCTTGCTTAGCAATGTGAGCTCGTGTTGATCATATCTGGAGAATATATTAGCACTTAAAAATACTTTAATAGAATGATTTCAAATGTCATATTGTCTACAACACCTATAGCCTGGAAAGGTTTTGCCTTAAACTAGGCATGTCTAATGGGGTTTATGACAACCTATGAATTTGCCCCTGAACAAGGTCAGCTTGGAGGTCATTGAATGCTATACAAATTGCATACTACTCAAGCCTGTAATTATCCCTGTAAGAAGTTAATGTGCTGCGGAGTTCAGCAAATTCATGTAAAGCTTCAGAAATGACCATGATAAACTGAGCAGTTACTTACATTTGCTCTGAAAAATCTTGGTCAACAGGACATGATGCTTACAGAGCATTCATTTATGGTAACTTTTAGCCAGATCATCTTTTCTGCTTGTGCACTCAGGAGACAAAGAGCCTGAATTCTTTCTCATTTGAAGAAAATGCTTTAAGTAGTATTACTTTCTTAATATCCAGCATATGAGCTGTACATTTAGGCTGAAAAATTCTCAGGATAGATTTTATTTCTAATTTTGGCAGAAAACGTGCAACATCTAGTTTAACATAAGTTCATTAAATGTTAAGTCCCTACAACAGGGACATAAAATATCTGTCAGATCTTTGTTGAAGAAAGCATGTATTCCAACTTGTTCATGTATTGTCTGATTTCAGTACTCTATCAATAATAGCTATCTTTAGACTTTCGGGTGAAAATGTCACTATCGTTTCTCTTTGTCCTGTATTTTTCAACTACAAGTCTACATTTATGTAAGTGAATGACTAAGTAGTTGCACAGTTAAATATTCCTAAATCCCATAAAGCATAGGTGAGAAACATTTGTATGAGTTAGTATAAATTTTATCAGTTAACTGTCTGCAATATGAGCATTACAAGGATAAGTGATATCAATTATTTATTTACATTATTAAATACCCAAATATTAGTATTACACAGATATTAAAATTAAGTTTGGATAAATATAGATTAAATATATTTCAAATACTGGGAATATAAATTTAGGGGATAATTAGCTATTAGTTTTAATTTTACATATGAGTTAGTATTTTTAATAATATTTGTTCATCAACACTATGAAGTAAGCCAACTGCTTGGATCTGAATGTTTCTTATTTTGAATAAGTTATGTCTGTATTGCATTTTGTGATGTGCTGCTGTCATATCTTCCTTATGACATAAATCAAAATCAGAAATACCAACAGTTCAAACATTGTGGGAAGTATGGTTTTGACATTTCTAACATCTGAACTACACTTCTAAAATTCCGATGGTTTACTTTTCATTACTTTATTTATGGACTGATACACATCAGTATCACTAATTTCAACCAGCCAAAATAACTTCCGCAAGATTTCCCTCCCTCCCTTTCCTTCTCCTCCCCCACCCAACATCTGAAAAGATTACAATCTGAATGTCAGTATATTATACTAACAAGTGTCTGTTACCCAAAATGCGAATAAAATCTTTGAATCCTTGTGAAGTGTCAAGGGTGTGGAAGAAACACATTCAATGACAAGAGCTGAAAGAAGTCCTTTCAGTAGCCCCTAGTGTTCCAGAAATAGTGTTGTGAGGGCATAAGAAGACATTTCTCCAATTCTCCTTGGTCAGGAATTTATCCTCTGTCATATAGACAGACTTAAATGTGTTCACACTGAAATACAAACTAGCGGACAAACTGAGGAACTTAGAGATGTACTCAGAGTATCTTAAATAGTTCAGCCCTGATCACCTTAAGGAGAAGGGGGAAAAATGTATTCCAGAATAAAAATATTTGATGTGCCTCTTTTTTCCACCTTAATAGCATCCTACAGATAAGAGGTGGTGTTCTTCACTAGACCTGGTGAGAATTCAAGCTTACATTTGTCAGCCATTTTTTAAAGTGCGGAGCACAGAGATAAGATGAAGGTCTTACTACCCCATTTAGTTAATAAAAAGGTTTGGTGGTTGGAGAGACATTGAATTCAATTCACAAATTAGCTTCTGTTGTTAATGTGAATTAATCCTTTGTAGAGTGTTCATTTGATCTCAGATCATTTTGCATCATCTTTCTAGATTATCAAATTGTTGGATGGAAAGCGGTCTCAAACTGTAGGAATTTTAATATCCAGTTTGCACCTGGAGATGAAGGATATTCAACAAGGTAAGTGTTTCTTAGATTTAATGTATTGTATTTGCATGCATATTTTTTCATAACCCCCTTCAGACATATTCTTACATTACAGATGGGCTCTGAATATAGTCCTCTCTAAGATATCAGAAGAACCAGTATATTCCAGTATATGTAAAAGTTTCACCTAAATTTTCGGAGTTGAATTAGGTAAAACTCCTTCTGTACCGTTTCATTTCGTGTAGCACTTTCAGTACAGTGTTTTCTCAAAACTGTTTTATATTCCTCCTTTACAGTTCCTACCTTTTTCTTAAGCAAGTCCTCCACTGACAAAAATTAAATGGAAGGCTTATATATAAACCTTTTTGGGCTTCAAACATGCAGTTGGTATTTGTTGAATGTTTAAATTTTGCTTCATTAGCAATATAAAAAGCTCATCCCAAACTGATGCAGCTACCACATAGCAATCAGAAAGATGATCACTGGATGGCATTTTTCAAAGCATAGGGCTACACAGTGTATAAATTCCATTACTGGTAGAAATTATCCGAGTTTGCCAATACAACTGTAGAGAAACAGACTTTTTTTCAGAACACTGGGGTAATTCAGATTCTGCTTATGTTCTGGATTTAAAAAGATATTGTTTAAGGATATTGTTTATTTCTTTTTCACATTAAAAAAAGGAAAATATTCACCATTTAAAACAACTGCTGGAAGAATTCAAGTTGATGTCTCCTTTTTTCCTATTGTTTTCCCTCCATCACATGCAAATACTGGGTAGGGTGTTGAGATGCTGCTGGCATTGATTATTATTAATTTCAGAAGAGCCTTTGAGCATCTAGCACTTTAAAAGCACAAGGGCTTACAGATGTCTCTTGGGATGGAGGAAAAGAACGAAAAGAAGGAATAACTTTGTGCCTGCCAGTATTGTGTGAAAGGTATCGGAAAGAGATGGAAAAAAACTGTTGTTACTAAAGGTCTGAATAATTTTCTGTCAGGAATTACAGCAGCATAGGATAGGATAGCAGCTGTATTATAAAAACTGGGTAGTATTCTAAAGTATCTTCAGGGCTGTTTTCATGACTTTTTGTTTTCCATGCCATGATGTTCTGCTGAAATAGAACATCTTTCTCTCTCCCTCTCTCTCTCAGTTGATTGCTGTACTTCTGTAGTTTTTGAAAACCTCTGACAAATTTATACCAAATTTAAGAGAAAAGAGTAAGTCAAATGTTTGGGTATGTATACGCTAACATTTTAGCTTGAATCAGCAGTGCACTTTTGAATCACATCTACCAGTTCTCCCCTTCGCTGTGTCTGCCTTGCAGAGCAATGCAGAGCAGTCTCAGAGTGCAGAGACAGCCTTCAGAATTAAACTAAGCGAGAAGGTGTGCTCTAGGAGCACACCAGCAGTCTCCACCTGTAGCAGGCTTTAAATTCTGCAGGATCAGAGAAGAGATAGTTAAAACATCCTGGAACATGTATAGTGTGGACACTGGATCCTCAGTACCAGCTGTTGCTGTCTACAAATCCATTTCTAAAGACTACGCTACTTGCAGTTGTAGACATAGCTAATGTAGTCCTACAAGTTTAATGAAAATTAGAGTGTTGGTAGAAGAGAGACACCAAGACAAGTGCTGTCACTGAAGGAAAGTTTGTAACTCATCACCCTCTCTATTCTGAGGTAGCAAATGACTGGCCTGTCACCACATGCGTTGCTCAAGGCAGCAATAGGATATGCTGCCTCTTGCTTATGGAAACAGCTAGGAGATACAAGTGGGATTTGGGAATACTGTTAGTGGAACTTCTTTTGAAAATATGTTACAAAGCAGGGTGAGTGACTAATCAAAGATCTGTGTTCAGAGACTAGTCCCCAGACTCAGGGAAAACATCTGTTCTGTAGAGAGGATCTTTGGAAGTGCCTGCTACAATGAAGACAACAGTAGGATTATGCTTGTTTCTCTTTTAGTTTGTGTTTATCCCCTAGTGTATTTTTTTAATTTAAATCTATGTGCAGTCCTGCCTATCAGGAGTCAGTTTCTTTGAAGACTGGTCTAGTCAACGTACTGAATCAAAAAAGATCATAACAAGCTAAATAGCTCATGACAACACCTAACCAAAAAAGCATATGATCATTGGGTGACGAATGTCAAAGTTTTTTTTTTTTGTTTTTTTTTTCACGAAGTGAATATACAAAGAACTACCTCTAAGAAACATGAAAATTAAGCACTCATTCTTTTTTTTTCAAGCCAATTTCCATTCCATAATTCGATATGTGAAAGACAGGGAAGAGAGAAGTTAATGGTCTTTGGCAGCTTGCAACAGAGAATGAAGAAACTTGAAGCAAAAGAAAGTAGAAATGAAATAAAAACAAAGGATTTCTAATTTTATTTCAAGTTTTTCTGACCATGTTTGTTGAAAAGCCATGCATGAACAAATTTACCGTCTGTGTATAGGCAACTGATTACTCTGCCTTAAGTAACAGTTGCAGAAATACAGATGTAGAAAAACGGCCTTATGCATACAGATGTATAAAAAATTGTAGAGAAGACAAAACAAGAGTAATCACGAGAAAAATTACATCCTCCTCTAAAATAGTGTGAGATTTCTGTGTCTATAGGATTACCCTCTCAAATTAAAGTAAATAGCTTCACAGCATCTTTAGATAGCTCAGCAGCGCAAAACAAGCAAGTGACCATATCTGGCACCCAGATGTTTCAGTTTGCATTTGATAATGAGCCAGCTGCCACACTTCGGGAAGGGAATCTCCCACACATGTTTGTTTGAGAGAGTGAAGTTCATCCTTGGCAGATAAGTTTAAATTCTTGCTGTATCTGGGTACAGTCTAGGGAGAAGACAAGGTAAAACTGAATAATTATTTTGGCTAGTGTTGCTATTATATGATGCAGAGGGAACGTTAACATTGTCACGCTGTACCTGTCCTAACACTCAGCTTTTTGGTAGATGGGAGAGGAGGAGAAATCCTAGGTGCTGTAGTTTTATTGGTGAATCTGGTACTGAAGAGGGTAATGTAGTTTCTGTTTAGACCACTATTAATAATATTCATTTCCTGAGCAGAAGAAGCAGACAGAAAATCTGTCTCCGTATGCTATATTGGATTGGTATTTATATTTAAAAATCAAAAGGCAATAATCAAATTGTGCATAGATTATTTTCAAGGCTGCTTCTCTGAATTTTTTTAAAACCTTTATAAAGAAGATATGAAGAATAGTGGAGATCAGCTGTTAGGTAAGGAAAATGTTTAGAGAAGTAATCTCCATTTTGTATCAATGCACTTCTGCCTTAATTTCCCTGTCATTGTTCAGCTGAAATATTACAGCTTGAGAGACAAACTTGTGGCACAAGGCTACTTGTGTGGCTTTGCTGTTGAAATATTACAACTCACTCCAGAGTGAGGTGTTTCAGTTATCTTTCTAATGCGAAATGCTGATTATAACTGTATGTGAAGACCCTCTGTGGGCACTGTGGCCGACTTTTTGTAGGGCAACATTCCAGTCACTCAGGCAATTCCCAATACAGTAGCTAGCTATAGCAGTATACCAGAAAACACGTAATAGTACTCTTTTCTGCAGCGTACGTCGTCCATACTGGCTTCCCATGAGCTACTGAGCTCTTTGTTCCAGAGCACTGTAATAGCACGTATGGGGACCTCGTATATTTGCTGTGCATTTGGAACATTCTTGTGTTCACCAATGATGTAAATTATCTATGCAGAGGCACATTATGCTTTGAAAATATTAGAGAAATCTATTTGATCACACTTAGATGGGATGGGTTAGAACGGATTTTGTTAAAAAGCCTAGGTCATGCCATCTGCTTGTGTAGATTCCCCTTCATTATTGGGGCTTTTTTGGTTGCTCCTCAAGTGTGGAATATATTTTTATCATACTGTTACAGTAATGATATTCTGATGGTGAGCAATGCAAATAACTATCGTGCCACTCTGCATCAAAACTTTTTGTGTGGCATTGTAGGAGGGGACCAACTTTCTAGAAAGAACGCAGTCAATCAGTTGAAAAGTGTTTGATTGGTCTTGTCCAACTTTGGGATTTACTCCATTGTCAACGTATGGGAGTAAATAATTGGAAGAATGTGAACAGCAGATTAACTCACCCAGACTGATGATCAGTCCAATAATCATTCTAATTCTATATTATGTTTCTAGTAATCCTGGGATGATTAGAAACCTGTGTGGTCTTCCTCTGATGAGAAGCCATAGAAGTTATATGAATAGGTTGCATTGTCTTAGTGCAATTTATGGTTTATGGCCATCTAAACTTTAGAGAACAGTATCATTGTCAACCAGGCACTTTTCTTAGCATCTGAAAGACTATATTTTATATATATAAGGGAAACTATTCCAAAGCAACTCTAATCTGCAGACCTTAGTGTGCTCAGAATTTCTGAACCCCAATTTGTGTTTTAACCATATCGTGCAGCACAAATAGTTTCACAGTTCCTTTCTTTGTTATATTTTGGAAAGACTTCTGGATAAAGATAAATGTTTTAGAATATTTCTTGCACTACATGAAAAGAGTTTTATTAGGTTTCCAACTGAAGTATTTTGCAGCATGGAAGTATAGATAATAAAGGTTTTAAAAAGTCTTGTTCCAAAGTTATGTGGCTTTTCCACCTACACAGAATATTACATGTATGCATTCTATATATACTATATACTATGCATGAAGTATACAGATAGCTGCATACCCATCTCAGAAGTTGGGAAACAGTTTTCTTTAAAAGTTATTTTCTTTGTTCTGGAAAATTCACAACATATGTTTTTGTGAGTCTGCCTTGGGCATCCAGCCTGGTGTGGGTAGGTTAACGTTAGTGCCAGAGTCCTTTGCTTATGACTTCTTGCAAGAGCTGAGCTTTCTTAGCCTTCTAAACCTGCATTGTGCCCGTGGTGCTGCTTTGTAATGTATATTCTAATGGGGTTTTCTGTGTTGCAAGGTCATTAAATGCTGGAGAAAACCTGTAAATAAGTTTAGAACATATAAATTTGTCAGGAGTAAACCAGAGCGATTCAGATATTTTAGGCAGCTTTGCCAAGTAGGGATTCGTATTTAACAATTGTTGTCATTTTCTAATTGACTAGATCAGTCACAATTTAATTTAAATTTCTCAGTGACGGGCTTGATGTTCGCATGAAATCAAGCCTTACTCAGCAGAATGCAATACATAAAACAATGAAGTACTTCCAGGTCAAATAAAAGTACCTTTGGCAAGGTCTTTTTATTTAAATAACATACTTCTGTGTTATCATTAGGGAGCAGTTAAGGTGACTTCTTCATATTTCATAGTTTAATTGTCACATTAAGTGGTTTGATACTGCTGAGTATATGTAAACTCTGTCAGCAGGACTTAAATCCTGATTTAACCAAAATGCGTTTAGTAGGAGTGAGGCTGTATATCAGAGTCAGCCTTAAGACTGTTGGTATTTGAGCTGGTTAAGAGAAGTAGTATCTTTTTCATATGTAACCTCTAAGTTCTACATTTGTATGTAGACTGCACACAGCATGCTTTAAATTCCCAGCTTTTCTTTAGTTTACATTTTTGAAGTGATAAAAGAGAGTATGTGAAAAATCTGTGCAGTAGGCAGCCAGTTTTTTACAGTTAGATTCATTTTTAAAAAGTGAGTCTATTAAAAACCTTTGGTACAAGTTTATATTCGAAGCAATACTCTTAGTATGTGAAATGTAGTTGGCAAGTATTTTTATGTGTTAGTTTGAATGCATGATGCTGATCTGTTTTTTGTCCTAGCTGACGGTTATTATATCCTAATGGGTGCAACCCTGCACTAATGATCCTTGTGTATATAAATTCTTCTTGTTGTGAGCAGACACCATAGGCCACATAAAAATGTTTGCCTCAATTTCCCTGCAAAAAAGGATTTCAGAAACCAGACTTGGCCAAGTAACAGATTTTTTAAAGGTAGAGGAACCCAATAAAATTACCAGCTTTTCACAGCATGAGTCTACTTCCTTTCGGCATATTGTGAGGTGTAGGTGAAATATTCTAACTGAACTGACAGTGTAAGGAAGACAGCTAACTAGAAAGCAAGATAAAAGTAAAAACCACCGATGATGATTGATATTGTAATAGCTATTAATTGTTTTGGAGCCTCTTTTGTAGATTTATGATACTTCACCTATATTACTTACGCTTATGTGAGTCTTGATATAACGAGATGTAATGCAGTAAAGTATCACGGTTAAATTCACTGTATCAGGAAGAACATTTTGAAAAAATTATCAACGTTTTTATTCATCTTAATGATGTTAACATACATATGATTAAAACTGGGTTTTGTTTTTCACAGAAAAATGAAGAAGCTTTTGTTCCTTGTAACTCTAAGTAAAAAGTAAAATAATTAGTTTCTTTGATCTAGTGTAATGGGTTTTTCTCAGCTGCCCCAGTTCAAGTTAATTTACACAACATACTGTGAATATATTGCACATGCCGTATTTTAAGAATATGAAGAATACTAAGACATCTATGAATGTGGGGTTTCTTCCAGCTTTTTAAAGTCAATGCTTCTTTTTTAAAAAATGGGCCAGTCTTCATAATTTTACACATTTTCGTTTTTGTCCTCTGCTCCAAATGTGTATGGCATTAAGTTTGAAAGAAAAAAGATTTAAGGACAAAGGTAAAGATATTAAACTACATAAAGGTGAAATAAAGAAGTCTGTGTGGATTTTGGCAGTACTTCTGACTTTTGGGAGTGTGTCTCTACATCCACTAACATTCTAAGATGGCCAGCTACTGCTGAATTGAGTAATATGGCTAGATTTTTAATTGCAGCCCGTCTACATGGACGTTGTCAATAATAGCAGAACAGGTTGTACAGCAAATACATCAGAAAATATTTTCTTGGTACTATTATATAATCCCATACTTGTCCAAAAAAGAAAATAATTCGTATTAACGTCTCTTAACCCTGATTATTATTAATTCTGTTAAAAATGTGTTTGTTTATCAGATTGTATTTTATTAGTTTAATCTCAAACAGGTTTTGCTTTATCACGTCACTTCAAAACAATTCTGATTTGTTAGAACTGGTGTTGTGTACAGGAACATGAATAAGAAAATATAGCATTGAAAAACACTTTGTTATTTTTGGGGCCTTTTTTGTGACAAATCTCTGACTGAAAATTCCAGTTGGATGTACAAATATTGATATTCTTATTAAAGTACTCTTTTCTTCAAACTACTTCCTCTCATTGTAGTAGTTCTGTACCTAAAAAAAATCTACTATTAGTTAACATGTTTTGCATTTCTAGTATGAGTTCAAATTAACTCCAATAAGTTGCTTTTCTAGACAACTCTGGACAAATAAATTTCTCCTTGTAAGCAGATTTCAGAATATTAAAAAAAAAAGGATGCAAGGGAAACCGCAAGGGGAAGGTTTTGAACTCAATATGCGTATTTTAAAATCTTAACTATGCAATATATTGGACTGTGAAAGCAATTTTCCAACAGATTTTCCAATCTCTTGGTTCTTTTGAAATTTCATTGGATAATACAGAAGATAATGCAACTCATGGAACCATCTTGCAAGAGCCAACAGATGATCTCATAGAGTCAATCCCTAATGATTTTTCTTTAAACAAAGATTTTTGTCAAGCTCGGTTGTTCGGGCTTTATATTTGGTCATGCTCTTGAGCTTTTTTTGAATCTTTCCAATAGGACAAAAATAGTTGGAGATACTGCTTTTTTTCACTGATACTGTCTTCTGTATAATTCTTCCCTTCTAACCAAGGTGTAATGTCAGCAAATGGAATCATAATTGACAGGCAAAATTTTAAAGCATTCTAAATGTCATTGGACCTTTTAATAAAATTAATTAGCCTGCCACAGAGAAAATTTACTAGCCTGCTGGTTAATTTCACAATGTAAAATCATGGGCTAGGTGGAAGAGCAGGCGAAAGCTTATTACTTTTAAATAATTATTTAAAGATGTGTGCCTTGCCCCTTTCAAACATGGATTGCAAATGCAGCGAGAGCTTTTAAAATCTTCTAAATTCACAAGCAGTCAAATTTCCTTTGAAGAAATACAGTACAGTTGAGATTAAAAGTTATCAGGTAGTAGCTAATGATGAGTCACCAGTTATGTGGAAAATTGGTAAAGGCCTTAAGCTTGATTCTTTTGGGATTAATGTTCCCAGGAACATTTAAACATAAGTCAGGAGTTCAGAAATTATGCCTGGTCCCATAATGAATCGTGATGAAATGCTGGTTTCAGAAAAATGAAACATCCGAAGTTATTTCTAGTCCATTGTGCGTCTCTCAGCTTACTGGAATTTAACATTAGAGTGCATTAGAAAGCACTGTGAACCAATCCTATTTAGTTTTCAGAAGAGTCCCAATATATTGCCTAAATTGTAATGGGATTTGCAAATGTTGGAAACACCTCATGCCATGTATTCCAAACATAGTACCATTTGGAACTAAGATAGTAAACATTTTGAGACTTTTCATTTTTTTGGTAATGGGGCATAATTAATCATTGAAGAGTATACTTTAGGTGTCTCTGTGTGATGTTTAACATATTTATCTGGAAATTGTCATGTGGGTAGTTTTCTAGCTAACTCAAATGTGAGCTGCTCTCTGAAGGTACCTTAAAAATCTGTAGCACAGTTTTTTGTGCTTGCAAATTTGCAACTTGCAAATCTTGCATGTTTGTCTACCTGTCTACTTCCCAAGATTACTAGCCCCGAGACAAGCAGATCTCCCTGGTTTTGTATCTCCCGTGAACACAGGAAGACCTAAACACCCGAACTCTCAATTCCTTCCTATCCAACCTTCTAAGATACCATGAAATCTGTGCTCTTGACTGTCTGGTATCAGTTGTTCTCATGTTCTCCTGTCTGGCCAGCTATGCAGTGGGCTGAGTATCTGGCAGGTTGTATCTTTGACTGCTGAGTATATTGGAGATGAAAAGTATACTCCATTATTCTGAGACAGAGTTTATAGTAAGTTCTTGTGTGAGTGCTGTGAGTTGAAGCCAGAACAAAAATAAAATGCTGAAAATAATAAAATATTAGCTGGATACAAATATGTCTTTTAGCTAGGTCAGATCTCCTCGGTACATTTCTCAGGAAAACAGAATTGAACTCTTAAGTATGTTTTCTAGCGTCTAATTTGTGATTGTATTCTATACAGCTATACTGTGTGTTGATGACTCCGTAGTAGATCTGGAAACACTGGAAGCACTATATGAAAATGTAAGTAAGCTAGGGTAAAGCTGTGGTTTGTTACCGTAGTATTTCAGACACAGAATAAATAAAAGTTTTATTTTATGTTGTCATTCTAGACTGGAAACATTGTATAGAAAAATTCTTTAGAGAATTTAACAGTAATAAAACAGGTAACATAAAAAAATACCCATAGACACACTTATTTCTCTTACTGTCTTAGTTCTTAAATGTCAGAAAACTAAAACAGTGGAGTGCCTTTGGAATTAGGTTTAAATGTTAACAAACGGCATAACATCTAGCAGTGTTCTCTCCTGAACTGCCTGAAAAATACTGTCCTTACTTAAGGCCTATTTTGTGCTAACATGCAGAATTTTTCTCGTACAAAATGTAAGTGGTTAAAACATTTAACTCACGCGAGTGCATTGCTGTCCCTACCCAAGTTGCTCTGTAGACTGAGTATATATAGTATTCATGAACTGTGTGACTCTGAATTTGCATGAAAGAATACATTTACGCTTGGCTGTGAAGATATCAGAGTTCCCTCTCCGACCTAAGCTGTGTGAAGCATCCTACAGCCATATTTGCAGTGCTGTGCTCTACAAGGATGCTCTGCTTTGTGGCCATTGGTAGTAAATGGCACTGCAAGGCGCTGAAGGAATTTATCATGGAGCTTTATGCCTCAGTCTTTTGCATAGTCTATAAATGTTTCCCATTAAAAAATATAATTGTTACTTGCAGACAAACAGGTCAATTAGTAGTTTATTAATTTGTTATTGATTATTTATTAATTACTTTATATTAATTCCCTCAGAGAGCACAAAAGGATGAACTGGAGAAAATCAAGCAATATTATCAGACTTCAAAGGAGGAGGAACTGAAGCTTCTGGATAAACCAGAACAGTAAGATTTTTAATTTTTTTTAATATTTTATCATTATATAGTATAGTCCTTTATATGATATGTTAAAGGGATCTTGATACATAATTTTTGGCAGCTAATTTTTAAACTTTGTGTATTTCAAGGCATGATGTAAACTTGGCCTTTATCATGCAACTTTTTTCAGACATGACAGATTTTACTACATCAACTTGGACCACGAGAACTGATAAAATAGGTAGCTTTGAATCAATAAAAATTTCTGTTCCCATTCTCACATTTCTAAAAGGCTTATCCTTCCCTTAGAGCTTCTAGGGCTAAATTAATGTGTCATTAAGCAGGGCCAGACTGATTTTGGTTATTGATTATTTGAAAGAGCTACACAAGTAGAGGGTTTTGGTGAGTCCTGTGACAAAGGCACAATGTACACTCTGGTCATACTGACTGAAGACCTACAAGGCTGATTCCACAGTTCATTTCCTGCGACTGCTGTGGGCAGTGACAACTGTTAGGATGAAAAACTTCTTAAGTGTTGCTTCTTCTGTTGTAATAAAGCTTAGACCAATGTGAAAATCACAAGAATCCGTAAGCAGAATGGTAATCCAGAATTTTATTTTAGTGTATACATTTGATTTCAGATTTTTAGCCTACCAGTGGTGTTTGTCTTCTGCTACTTTGCTGCTTATCCTTTTGTACTTCCATCCTCTTCTAATGACCGTGCAATTTCCTGCCCTGAGGCCCCTCTGCCATCTTGCTTCCTTTTCCCTCTTGTTTGTTTTTGTCTTTTCTGCTGTCTTTGGCTTAAGAAAGGGAAGGGGGGCAAAGAACTGAAACAGCAGAGATAGTATATGTTTGGTTGATGTCAGAAATATTACATTTTCGTACCTTTTTTTCCCATTAAAATGTTAGGGGGAAAGAGCAGATTTTTTTTCCTCTTTCTCCTAGCACGGAGCAGCTAAATATTAATTTGTGACTGACAACTAGGGAATAGGTTAACACTGGGAGATGAGGCTATCGCACCCTTGGTTAAGAGCGGCTCTCATTCTTGAGTAAGGCTTAAGAAGACAAATATCTGTCAAGTGTACATGCTAACTTGGTCTTGCATCCTATGTCCATGGCTTTCATTGCATTGGCTTGGGGAGTAAGAATACATTGTGTGACTAGTTGATGTTTTCCAGAACTTGAGTCTTTGGCAATCTGTTTGCTGTATGTCTGAGTGAAATAAATATTAATGCATTTTGTGTTCTGGAGAATACGAGTCTTGTAGAGCTCTAGAGTTATAAAAGGTTGTCTGTTTTTGTAAATTATAGTGGAGAGAGGTTGATCTTAATTAAACACAAAGTTGGATTTATGCTATCATTGTTCCATAATTAAAAGTAAAGAACTGTAAATGAAGTGGTTCTGCCTGATCAATCAGAGGGAAATAGTAGTGTCAAAGACAAAAGCTACTTTTTATCAATTATTTCTCTTTGTGTTCGCTCTGCAAGTCTTAATTATCCCATTTTTACCCTATTATTAAACTATGTAGGTTAGGAAAACTAGCTTTTTAAAAAGTTGCATCAAGGGGAAAACAATTTGGTGGTGATGCACTTATGTAGATTTTATTTGACCACCAAAATAATGATGTCCTTTCTGAAAACTCAGTAGATCAGGTGCTTCTGGTTTTGTTGTCTAAGTCAACCTAAGTGCAGAACTGCAGATTTAGTGGAACTGTACTATACATATCAACTCCATAAAAGGCTAAGGACAGAAAAGTGCTAAATTTGTATGTATGACTTAAAATTGCTACAGGGCATAAGCATCATGGTTTGTCTTCAATGAGGATCAGAACAGAAGTGCTAACTAAACCATTTATCAAATGGCTGCAAATACTACCAATAGGCATTCATATAATGAAACCATTGATGTGAATTCACTGAAGTCTAAAGGAAACCTTTGCCATTTTTCAATGCTTGGATTGCCAGACAAATAGAAAGTTTTAGTGGTATCACTGATGCTCTCCTGCACATGTGATTTTGATTTGTTTTGCTGGCATGTTAAATTTGCTATTGTTGGCACAAACTGTAAGTGTGACAGCAACATGACAATGCCCCCCTAAATTATGCTTCATGATAATAGTTTTTAAAATGCTAATATTCATTAACACGATAAAGATTTATATGCACAGTTGGCCACAATTTGCGGTTTCGCTCACAGGATACAGATGGTGTAGCTAGTTTCCAAGAAGACCCTTTTAGTTGTAATATAATCTCTGTGAAGTGCTCTCTACTCTGAAATAAATACTAATGAAGGAAACAGTAGCAAAAGTAAGTAGTTTGGATGCAGGAAGTAGTGAGCTATTGATAATTGCTGTCCAAGTAATGCCATTTGCTTCTCTTTGAAGACCACTTTCCTTTAGTGGACTTCAGATTGAATCCTGCTGGCTTCCTTAGATTAGATACACCTTTTTCCCAAAGAATTGTTTCTAAATTTTATATTCTTCAAATGTGGATAAATGTGAACTGATGAATAGTTTACTGCCATAGAATCAGCCTTTTATGTCTGTCTTCTGGAGGAATGTTCTGTTACACTAACAACATGGTCATATGCCCGGCTTGAAAGTAGCCTCAAGTCCTTAACTACAAGATTCTATTAGGATAAAAGAGTTCTCAAGTAAATGCATTTTTTATTTACAGTTTCTGCAGAAGAGGAGTAAAATGGACCTCACAGAGATGAACAGCAAATTCTCTATGTTTACTTTAGACCATAAGAAGTATAGCAATGAAAAACCCATCAAAAAGCTATGTCACAGTCATGTCGTCGTTACTTTAAATCAAAATCATACTGTTCTCAGACTAGAATTGCAACAATGACTGAACTAAGAATATTCTTTTCTCTCTGAAAGTTTTGTGCACCTGAATTGGTGGTTTGTCTTTGATAACCACGGATCCCTGCCATGTCTTCGTGTTTAATAGCTACATTTGTAGTCACTAAGATTCCTTTTTGTGACAGATTTCAGTTGTAAGTGTTCTGTCTGGATTTACGTTGCATACTTTGAATTCCAAAATCTGGAGACATCTTCTTTTTATGCTGGTGCTCTTTTAACTCTTGGCACAATTACATTGTGCTCTGATGACCAGCAGTGTGGGAGATAGATACTTCCCTTTTTAAGGGAAGGCAAGAAATATGTGTCATTTGACTTTTTAAATTTGAACTTTTAAAATGTATGTATGTTAGAACTTTAGTGAAGCAGTTGGGTTTTTCTTTCTTTTGTTTTTCTCACACAAAGTGCAAAGTATCCTCTTTTTTTCCTGGCAATACCATTCATTCCCAATAGGAAGCATTTTTATTAATACCAGCTTGGCATTTCTTTTTTTCCCACTGCTTAAGTATAAGAGCCAAGTCGGGCCTCCCCAATCCTTCTCTCACAATGGATTTTTTCTTTAGGCAAGAAAGGAAAAGAAGGAAAAAAATGATATTCCAATTAAAACATAGTATTTCACGCTAGCCACAGGTTGATTTTGCTGAATTTTCAGACAGTCACTATGTATTCAGCAAAGCATTGCGTGCATGAGAAATTTATACAGTGGATTTGAAGATACTGACATTATTTATTATGAAAAAGAAATAATTTGGAGAAATCAGATGTATTGGCTTACATAATTAAAATAAATTTAATAAAAATTCAAGTTAATAATGGTTCACAGAATTTCCCATTATTCAGTGAGGTAGAAGAATCTTTATGGCATTATGTTAAGGGGGATCTAAGGATAGACAGGAGAATGTTTCTAAAGTGATATTGGAGCAAAAGACAGATTGTTTCTGGATTTCAAGAAAGCACGTGTATCGCTGAAAGCCTGGACTCAAAACCCACAAAGCAAATTATGCAAACCCTGTTATTATAAGAAATGCTAAAGCTTCTTGTATTATTTAGCCAAGCTCCTACGTTTTAAATGGAAGAAGAGAAAAGGCAGGAATTACTTATGACTTTAGGATGCTTTCATTTTGTGATATCCGAACTGGAGTTGTTGAATAAGCTTCTATTTATTTTTATCTACCAAGGAGTTAAAGGAAGAAATCTGGAATAGACTCATGAGGAAAGTATATACATAAGGACAGATAAAGAGCAGATGAAGAGTTAGTAACTTTTCTGAACAGTAACTGCAGAGAGAGATAATCTGCAAGTATTTTAGAGCTAAATACACGGCTAGGTGCATTGCCATAAAACATGCTGCTATATTATTGGAAGTGTGGTGCAAATTAGTAAAAGAAAATTGAGGCTGAGCATCAGAAGAAATTTCTTGGCAGACGTTTTATATTATGAAATAACCTTGTAGGAATATATTGAGTTCCGTATTGCTGGGCACATTTTTAAGGGAAGCAAAAACACATGAGTGAAAACAGTAAATAGATAGTGTTTCTCTAGCTCTTTCATTCTCTTTTTCTTTTTTTTTTTTTTTAACCTATGATCTAGGTTTATGATTCTTCTATTTATTACTGTGCAGCTGTGATAGTAGATTAATGGATTAATGTGGTAACGATTAATGTCTTGCCTTTTTTTATATTAATAGGATTTCTTCAACACATTAAGCATAAAGAATATAACAATTATAAATTCTGTCAGATTTGATTTAAAGTAGGAAAGATTGCATGTATATTTCATGATACTACAGCTTTGGTCCATTATGTACTCCACAGATAAGAAATATAAAGATTCATTAATACTCTTTTTTTTCCCACAGATTTTTATATGAGTTATCCCAGATCCCCAACTTCACAGAACGAGCTCAGTGTATTATCTTCCAGTCAGTTTTCTCTGAAGGGATAACATCAGTGCACCGGAAAGTTGATATCATAACTCGTGTTTCCAAGGTAAGTCCTCATGAAAGCTAAATAAAAACATAAATATATTTTATAGTATTCATGCTTCTTTTTTTTGTGGTAAATGATGAACCTTAAGCCTGATTATTGGCTTTTCGGGAAGGTAAAAATATATTAAATTTTTTAGCTGCTTATAAGAGCAAAAGGAGCAGGCAAGAGGGAAGGTGAATTGTGTGTGATGCCCTATGCTCTACATAGGAAAAATTATTTTAATTTGAATGACTGATTTTTATTACTTTTCACATTAAGTAGAGTAATAGATAATCTCCATAAAATAGAAATTAAATCTCAGACTAGCTTAGTACAGGGCCTTGCAAACTTACTTTTTTGCATATCACTGTTCATGCCATCAGCAATAGGTACCTATCACATCCATTAGCTTATTGCTTTTCCCTGATATCTGTACATTTCTGTTAACCCCGATACAGCAGACTTTTAGTACTTGACAAAGCTTTAACTAAGATTTCTATGCTATGAATTACTAAAAACAAGATTTTGAAATTGTAACAAATAAACCATGAGAAGTAGAATAAGATAAGAATTGAAAAAGAAATTAAATAGTGACCTAAAGGGATAACATCCTGGCCAGGACAGTATTTAATTTATTTTTTCTCCAATTTGAAGATTAACTTTTGATTAGCTTTGCTGCCACAAAGTACCCATGCTCTACCCTTTTGTATTTCTTTGCATATTCTAACAATAAAAATAGTTACTTAATGTTTCCTTTCCAAAGGAGACATAAATAAGGATTCAGTTTTGTATGTCATAGGGAAAGTTGTATTGCCATTAGTTTAGTTCGGACGAGCTCAAGCTACAATTGATTTATCCAAGGTTTAGTGTAAGGCTACATAGTTAAGAAATAGGACCGTGGCCTCAGATTCTCGATTGACAAGATAGATGTCTTTATATGTAAATTAAAATAATTTCTTAGTTCTCCACTGTGTTTCTAGATTTCTTTTCTGTTTTGAGGCATAGTAATTTAGTCCTTAGCCCTGCTATATCTGCATTAAGTATGGATCCAGAACTGTGAATTTCCAGAGCACCAGGACCAATGAGAAGCAGACTGAATATGACTGCATTACACAAACTCATGATAAAGGACCTTGTCTCTATCTTCTTCCATTAATCTTTTTTTCATCTACATAGTATATGATGACATACAATTTGCTTCATATGGATTAAGTTAAATATAGTATCTTAGGCAGATACAGTCTGATAAATGCTTCTCTTAAATGCTTGATTCTTGTACCAGTTTTAGCTTCCTGTCCCTACAGGGGTAAAAACACACAAGAAAAAAATCCTCTAGCAAAAATAAAGTAAACTAAACTTTTTAATATTAGCAATTAGAATTTTTGTGCCAACAGTAGTTACAGATTAGTATCCATTTTCCAGGCTTTGCTGAACATGACAAGTGTCAAGGAAATTTTAGGTTTGATTCTGGCTTTTGGAAATTATATGAATGGTGGGAATAGGACCCGAGGTCAAGCTGATGGATTTGGTTTGGAAATACTCCCCAAACTCAAGGATGTCAAAAGCAGAGTAAGTACTCATTTTTCATTAAAGATAATTTTTCTCAAGTGATCTTTTTTTGTTCCATCATCTGTCAAAAGTTAATCTTTTCTTATTTCTGAACATTCTTGAAACAGCAAGGCACGTTGTACCATTTTCTTGCTTTTTTCTCCCAACTTTTCACCTCCTTCTCCTGCACATATGCATATTTCCCTAATCTCCAATTTCTTCTATTCAGTACTACTATGATAATTATCTTATGTGTGTCTCTTTTACTAGTAGGGACTTAATAATAACTTGGTAGGTTAGAGAGAATTGAGGGAGCACAGACTGCTGAAGTTTTCTCCAGTAAATGTCCCCATTCTTTTTTCTTGCTCTTAACTTAAGGTAGCTCTAAAAGAGTAAAAATGTCTTTAAAAATCAGGTTTAAAAACAAAATATCAGTAAAGGTTCAGTGCAGCATATACACTAAGGAATTATACACAAAGGATGTAAATATATAATACACAGAATTTTAATCCTCTTCAAAGAGGTGTGTCAGACCCAACAAGATATTTTCAGTCTTTTTTTTTTTTGATTGGCAGTTAAATGGATGTAGGGCATGAATTCTGAATGGCATGTATGAGAAAATGCTCATAGATGGCAGTAAATTATTTTGTCAAAAAATGAGAACCACTAGCACATTTTTGATTAGTCATGCTAGGATCAAAGTCAGGCTCAAACCAACTATGGACACCTTTTGAGGTGAGGTTACTTTGTTCCTTATTTCAGTAGGGCAGAGGAGGAGGTGCTAGATAATGTAGGCAATGGGAACACTGCTCAAAGTCGTTCTTTGCCAAAGCGTACCGAGACACCGCATGGATAGATGAATCAGCAAAGAACAGGAGGTATTTTCTGCTGATGCTGGCACAGATTTGAGGGGTGAGAAAAAAACCTGTTCTTTCATGATCTTCCTCTTTTCCTGTGTGAAGTGCAGTCTTGAACAATAAGAAAGGTAGATTTTAAGCTTTTGTTGCCAGTTGTGCTTTATGTAAGTAGGAATGCATTTGTGAGACAGGCAGTGTCAGAAAAGCAGTATTTCTAGGGAGCTTTTGATTTTACTTGTGAATACCATCATTAACAAAGTGTAAAAACGGGTTTAATTAATTGTTCAACTGTATTAATGAAAGTTTTTCCAATGGGTTTGACTTCTTTGTCTCCTAAAGACATTGAGGTGCTGGAGCACGTCTAAAGAAGTGCAACAAAGCTGGTGAAGGGTCTGGAGAACAGGTCTTATGAGGAGCAGCTGAGGGAACTGAGGTTGTTTAGCCTGGAGAAGAGGAGGCTGATGGAGAGGCCTTACCACTTTCTACAACTACCTGAAAGGAGGTTGTAGCGAGGTGGGGGTCAGTCTCTTCTCCCAAGTAACACGCGACAGGATGAGAGGAAACAGCCTCAAGTTGCGCCAGGGGAAGTTTAGATCGGATGTTAGGAAAAATTTCTTCACCAAAAGGGTTGTCAAGCATTGGAACGGGCTGCCCAGGGAAGTGGTGGAGTCACCATCCCTGGAGGTATGTAAAAGACGTGTAGATGTGTTGCTGAGGGACATGGTTTAGTGGTTGTTTCGGCAGTGTTAGGTTTGCAGTTGGACTCAATGATCTTAAGGGTCTTTTGCAACCTAAATGATTCTATGATTCTAATTCTTACTTTCCTCTTCACTGCAATGGTTCAGCTGTTCCCTATGACTGCTTTTCTTCCAGCCTTACTGCATGGATACGACACAGTTAGTTAGTTTAGTTTAGCTGCAGCTAAACTAGAGCCAGGCCAAGTTTCCCGGTACTCAGGTGTTCATTGGTTGGTCAGCTGCCATGAAGAAAAATGTAAAACAACTGAGCTTTGCCCAACTTTTCTCAGGAGAAGTGCTAATTTTAGTCTCGCTCTTCTGTCTAACCATAAACTTCTAAGAATTTTATTATCTCTGGGACTTTCCAATTTGACTGAATTTCACCAGCACGTTCCAAAATTATGTTATGAAAAGGAGTGACAGATGTACAGTGGAATTGCATAAGACTTGTTCCTTAGCAAAACAAGCTAAAAAATTACAGTATTTACAGTTTCCCGGTAGCCAAAATAAATATATTATTAGTTTAGACTAGTCTCCAAAATGCATAAAAACTCAAAGGGGCCAGCTGTTGCAGGCAGACATGAAACCTCAGAGATAATTGGTAGACTGTATTTGCAAGGAAGAAGAATGCAGGATCTTGTGTGTTGGAACACTGAGGTATCCTTCCTGTGCCCCATTACTCCCTTTTGGGAAATTGCCAGCAAGCAATATTACATCTAAGTAAGCTGAATCCCAGGAGCTAAGGTAAAACATCAATTTTAAATATCTCTTATTTCACATAAAAGTAATTTGTTGTCACATGAGCCTAGAAAGCTACCTGATATAGAGATTTTTTCTAAAATGTAGCTCACCGCTTCAAAATCCCTGTGTTTTGTCTTCTGCAAATACTTCTTAAACAGAAGTAATAGGTTTGTTAGTTTAGCATGTAGAAAATAGAATAACAGGTATTTCACTCTAAAAGGGGAATCAAATGTTCATGAGTCACCTCAGTTCCTTTTGTCACGTGACCTGCCAGCAATGTCTTCTGAAACCACTGTACAAGCAGAGTGGCTTTGTCTGCATGACAGCGATGACTTGCTTAGTTAAGAATTTTGCTGATGTATGATACTAATAAAATATAATGTGCTACAGGCTCCAATACAGGCGAGGCAGCTCTGTACAGGAAGTCAGACATTGTTCACATACAAACGTTTGTCCTGATGCCTGTCAATATACAATAAGAAGACACATCCAAAAAAACTTCAAAGACATTCCAGATATAATTCCCTACATTATGATTCTTTTATGTTGTCAAACGGTACCCTGTAATGTATAAGTCACAGTTTTACACTTTTCCCTTAGTTCATCTGGCCTGTGCTGACCCGCTGACACGTAACAAAATAAAATGATGTTGTGTACAGTTGTTGTATGCAGGACCATGGTAATGGTGATTCCACAAACTAAGCATTAAAATTCATATTTATAAGGCAACAGGGCATGAAATATACTTGTTAGGTACATGCTGTCTGGTTTTATATTTGGAGTAAAATATGAGAAATATCTATGCCTCTTTCAGTTCTTCAGTATAGATGAACTGATACTAGAGGAATCAAGAAATTCAGTTCACCTTAATGTAGCTGAGCTGATTGTAATATTTAGTTAATACTATATTCAAGACCACTATTGTTAATTAATATTATTATTCAAATTAATATTATTATTCAGTAATGCCTTGTATTATTAAAAAAAGATACGGGGACAGCTTCTTCCAGTGCATGTTTTCTTACCTGGTATTTAGAAACCAAAAGAAACTCTAAGTCCTGTGGTGGTATGATCAAGCCTATGTTCTCAAAGATTTTTTTTTTTTTTTTATTCAGTAATGCTAGGGCTAAAGATATTGAGCGTCCTATTTCTCACAGCAATATAAAATAATAATAATAATAGATTTATTTTGAAATAGAGTAAATTTTGATGCACTTGAAACAGTGTTAATCACACACATTTTTAATAATATATTTATTTTTTTCCTAGGATAATGGTATTAATCTTGTGGATTATGTCGTCATATATTACCTACGCCATTGTGATAAGGTAAAAGATTCATTTGCTGTATCAGTCTCTCCAAAAGTAGGTTTTTTTAAGAGGTTGTATAAGGGTTTGTATTAGCTTTTTAAAAATCTGAACACAATAGCTCTGGCAGAAAAATAAAATCCATTTCTTTTGCTTTCTTATAATAGTTGTGGACCTCAATAGTTCTGAAATTTGCTATAGGTTTTATGAGAAGGCTTTGCAAAATTTTACATTAACAGTTGAACTAACCACTGCAGGCAATTGCCTGTGACTGTTGCAGACTGGACAGGTGGTCACTCCAGTCCTGTCTTCTTACACCCCGGTTACTGTAAAGTTGTAAATCTTGTCCTGATGTGGTAATAATGGAAGACAGAAGCATGATTTCTCTCTCATGACAGAACACAAGGACAGGTTGGTATTTTAAGAGAGGCTGATGGGGATGAAGTTAGAAGTTGAAAATGTGGGAAGAGGTGTGGCTGCTGCTTTGAGTGAGTTATATTTATGAGGCTTTTTGATAGATTTCATAAGTGCCCAAAGTTTTTTGAGAGGAAAATTTGAACTATTGTCTTTTAAATGAAAATGTCACTATTAATTTATTTTAAGTATGTACTTGAGATTTTTGAGATTAAGAAGCCTTTACTGAAACTTTCAATCTAATACTAGTGTAATTTTTCACAGCCCCATGCCTGGGCATAGGCATTTTTTAATTCTTATGTAAGGATGTTGAATTAATGAGTTAGCAGTCACGAATACTTTTTCCAGGTGTAAGACTAAAGTAAGTGAAGACATTCCCCTGCCCATTGCAGGGGAGTTGGACTAAATGATCTTTAAAGGGCCCCCTTCCAACCCAACCATTCTGTGGATCTATGATCTCTGACACTGGAGGGTCTGTATGTCAGAAGCCTTTGAAACAGGGAGATAAAAAACTAGCAGATACGTAGATCTGTATTTTTTTTCTTTCTTTTTTTTTGTCCTTTTTTCTTTTTTTTAATCAGGGAAATAAAATGCCATTACTTTAACCTAAGTACCTGTCTTGTAAAAAGCCTCATAACAAAAGCAACTTTGTCTAGCCTGTAATGTTTCTCAGCTCTCAGGGTATTGACGTACATATTCTTTTCTCCTTTTTTAATAATGCTGCAACTAATGCTTTCTAACTCATTTATTTAAATATCTAATATTTCTGCAAACTTCCTACTATACTGTAATTTTACTTCAGGGAATTGTGTAAAACAAAATATTTATCTTCCTTGGGGGAAAATGGACATAGTGGAAATGTCATCCATTGTACTTTTTTTCCCCCGATTGTTCATATCTTTATAACAATAAAATTATTTTTCCCCATTCACAAAACAATTAGTTCTCCAAACTATGAGTTTTGCTTTATTACAGACTGAAATCTGTGCACAGATAGTATTTTAAACTCACTAGTATATGCTAATACGCAGCAATGTCATATTAATACCATTTATATAATTTACTTGTCAAATTTCCACTGGAGATATTGCTTTGAACCTTTTAAGTTTTTTTGGCTTTGTTTTGGTTTACTTCTGATTTTTTTTCTTACTGTGCTAAAAATAAGGTATATACTTAGGAGTTCCATATAGACATTAACCCATGTGATTTATTTAGCCACATAAACCTTCATCTGTATATTTTTATCTGTATAAAATACTTCAGGCAGTATATAAATATTGTTTTTAATTTATGCTTATAAAGTGTGTGTATATTTAATGAATCGGGAGACAGTGAAACCACAAACTTTTGGCATAAGATCACTTGTTGCATTAAAGTAGGCATTCATGGGTTTTGTTTTTAAGAAACTTCTAATCCCTTATCTAAACCTTTATTGATATAAAATGAAGTGAAATGTTGTGAGAATGTTGTTTCATAGTTTAAGATGAGCACAGTTTGCTTTACAACATCTAAAGGGAAGTTTCAACACTCAGAATGGTCAGGATTTCATCTTGAATGATATATGTTGATTTAGCAAGAATGATTTAAAATATATTCTTTTTGCCATTTTGTGATAGTGTTTCATAGATGAAGTTTCAAAAAAAGTAATTTATTTCACTGCAGATGTATTTGGTTTTCATAGTGGCCTGTTTGTTTGTTTGTTTGTTTAGGAAGCAGGAACAGACAAGAGTATTTTTCCTTTACCAGAACCACAGGATTTTTTCCAGGCCTCCCAAGTTAAGTTTGAAGACCTAATAAAAGACTTAAGGAAACTGAAGAGAGATCTAGAAGGTAACTGGGAACTTTCACATTTGTTCTGCTAACAACAAAGTGCCATTTAAAATGTGACCTTTATGAGGTTTTCTTATTGCTAATTAGGTTTATAGTGTTGATTCATTTAGAGGTTTTACACTGTGGCACAAATTACTCACATAAATTAGAAAGAAAAAAAAATTCCAACTCATGACTTAATAAAAATGAAAGTAAAGATACTGAAAAGTAATTTTCCCTTTTACAATTGAAAGGCCCCTAAAGAAATCTTTCTGAAATTTGCTTTAGTTATGTCTGAATTTTCCTCTGGCTTCTCCAGAACTGTGTGTTTAACTGTAGATATCTGTTAGTTCCATAACATAAATACTTTCTTCAGTACTTGTATAACAACAATTTAACAGCTACAAGAAAGAGTGGAATACTATTAATGTAGAAATAAAACACAGCTTGCCAAGGCACAGCAAAGGGAAATGGAAAGCTCCAGTTCAAAATATTTTCACCCTGGGACATAAAATAAACATTTAAAAATGTTTATTATAAAGAGGGGCTCAGAAACCCAACTCATCTATCAATCAAGGTACTGAGTGGAAATAAAGTCGGAAGGGTTGCTCTCTAAGTGTTCCAAGCAGTTTCATTTTTATTTTGTGCTTCATATGACTTTCTAAAATAAATCCAGCAAATGGTGACTGAATATTTTAAGTCTCTCTTTTTTGTTAAGGAAAAGTTGATACTTTTACTGAAGCAGTTTTGCGTAG